CACTTGCCCATGAGGCCTTTCTCCCAACACTGCTGTGGACGCCCTGTGATCCAAATGAATGATGAGCAGGTTCAGCTCTGTGGCTGACTGGGTGCTCCTCCCAGGCAGCATGTTGAATGTGTTGTAGGTGATTGGCCAATCAAATAGTGTGTAAATGAGCTTAGGAAAACCTGGACTGGAGGATACCTTACTCTGTGTTTGCATCGGGGCCTGATCCCCCTGCTCTGTTCCGGTGACTGAACCATGCAGCATGTGTTGTGTGTGCTGTGCCATGGCCTGGCCCCACGTTAGAGGCAATCACTCCTTTATCTCATGCTTTGCTTTTACCTCCATGCAAAACCAATGCAGATCAGAGACACAACCTGCTGTCAGTTTTGGTCCAGTGCTGCCCACCCAGTGAGGAAAATGCTAGCTTATTATGTAGGTCTATTTCATCAAAGCACTGTGATGCTGGCCTTGGCTGCTGTGGCTGGATGGCTGAGAGCAGGAGTCTTGTGATAATAACCTTGGAGTCAGGACTTGGGTGAGGCGATCAGGAGAGTCTTTAACGTGTGTTTCCTTGTGACGTCACCTGTGGAGACATCAGGTGGTACATCTTTATTAACTAGTACTCTCTGCTCTTGGCCCCTGGCCACAGACTTAGGGCTGGTGAGGTCTGGATAGACAGGCAGGAAAGCATTGACCATCCTTTGTTTCCAGAGTGAAATGTCGAGTCCATCGTGCTCCGGCCAAGTATTAAAACATTAGGTTTTGGGAGACGGAGGGCTGGGTGGGGTCTGGCAGGATCTGACCTCAGTGGCTGAGTTTTTCAGGTGTCGGCCTGAGATTGAATTAGGACAGTTAGGGAGTTCTGAATCTCTTGATATCTAATCTTTGAGTTAGAGTGCAGAAATATGGTGACTTGCTAATTAAAAATAGCTTTCTTTTTTGTGAAAGTAATTTACACTAATTATAGAAATTAGAAAAATATCAAAAAAGCAAAATGCTGAGCGTTACCCACATTTCTCTCTGGAGATAATCACTGCATTTTGTTGTATTTGCATATATTTTTGTATGCAGAATTAAGATCACTGTGTATAAATTCTGATTTCTGTTTTTCTACTTAACGCATGAATGTCTTCTCGGCATTAGTTGCAGCCCGATGTAGGGGCTTGTGTGGATTTCCTGTAGCTGGTGTAACGGCTTTCCAGCCGAGTGGCCTTGAACAACACACATTTATTTCCCCACTGCTTCAGAGATCAGAGTCCCAGATCAAGTGCACACAAAACTGATCCCCGACTACTTCATGTGGGTCCGTTTTGTGCTCTGCCTGAGGCTGCTGCTAACCTGTGGCATTCCTTGCCATCTGGCCAACACTGCAGTTTCTATCTCCCCGTTCATATCTTTCTCTTCTGGTGGCCTTGAACAACACACATTTATTTCCCCACTGCTTCAGAGATCAGAGTCCCAGATCAAGTGCACACAAAACTGATCCCCGACTACTTCATGTGGGTCCGTTTTGTGCTCTGCCTGAGGCTGCTGCTAACCTGTGGCATTCCTTGCCATCTGGCCAACACTGCAGTTTCTATCTCCCCGTTCATATCTTTCTCTTCTGGGTATGCGAGAGAGAGAGAGAGA